TAAAACTTGAACTCTTGAGTTGACTTACTCTGAGATGGGAAACTGAGTTTTCGGTTTCAGAACAGCTGAATTGAGTTAGTTCAATTGACTTTGAGTAGGTTGACTGAGTTTAGCGCGTGCACCACGACTATGAAAAGCCATGATCAATGGACCTCCGATATTATGATTCACCATGGCAACAGCTCCCACCAAAAAGACGTCTGCATACTTCAGAGTCAATACAAGTTTAATTATTATCACTGTTATAATATCACAGGTGAAAACTGGAAGAACGGTAGATTATTGAACTAATATGCTATTCATTTTCATGGTATCCCACGGGCAAAATAAATAAATAAATAATAATAATAATATAAGTGCATTTTTCTTATTTTACAAATGATATGCCAATAGGGTAAGAAAAATACGGCAGCAGCTATTTACACTAAGTGGAATTAGCTACTTTCTTAGCGATAGATCTTATTTACAATAGGCTAAGTGAAAATAGCTCTAGATGCTATTTACACTTAGTGAAAATAGTGATATATTCTATTTACCATGTAAAAGCAGCAGTTCTTTGAAATAAGTGTAAATAATAATTAGATGCTATTTATACTTCATACTGGCGGATACATACTATTTGCACCTCAGTACTGTTGTACATTAACAGGATGCAATAATAACAGACTGTAAATGATTATATTTATTAAAATTATAAATAATTTTATCATTATTAAACAGTCGTTAAGCACTTTACTTCCACTTTTAGAAATTTTCTTCATTTTTATTTAAAATAAATTATAATGTGATATGTGATGGGAAAAGTGAGAAGAGCGAGCTCGGCACAAGCCAGACTCAAACCAGGTCACTCACGTCACAAACTAGTTCTCCGCGCCCATCGCGTTACTGCCTACACCACTTAAGCCATAGTTATTGCATGTCGTATTTAACCTTGTGTGACATTGGAGGGCGGAGCTACTGTAAATCTGCACTTAGTAATAGACACTCCGAATAATCTTGTTTTTCATTTGCATTAAGACTATTTGTATTACCACACTGGCAGATAATTTTTCTTAAGTAACATGCACTTAATTTAGATCCCCCCAGGAAATAAGACTAAATATCTTATATCATTTTCTTATATAGAAAATCCATTTTGATTTAAGAATTTTTAGATATTTGTACTTGAAATAAGAAAAAAATACTTAGTAAGAATAGCATTTTTGCAGCGTGCATGAATGAATGAAGTATTTAAACATCGCTTGCGCTTTAAAATGGGGGAGGAGACCGAAAGAAACTCTGGGTTTACCGAAGAAAACCTGCTCCTGACCAGGTTAGGTTCACAGAGTAAGTTACCACGGTAACTGACTCTGAGTATAAGTTACCTCTCTTTCAGAAA